GTTAGGGTGGGACATCTTCATTGTTATTATACATTTTATTAGTATGCAGAGTTTGGTGACATCATGTCATTTCCAGCATAGCTCCAAACAACATCAACCTGACAGGAGGTCTGATCAGCCAGAGTAACTGAAAACAATTGTGTGAATGTGCAGGGTCTTTAACTAAAAGGTGTGTGATGAAATTCAATAGAAAAATGTTTGTTATAACATTTTTACAGATTTAAATTTTTAAAAAGGTCCTATGTGTAACATTTAGGAGGACTTATTGTCAAAAATAGGTATATTTTCTTTAGTGTATAATCACCTGAAAATAAGAATTGTTGTGTTTTTGTTTCCTTAGAATAGGCTGGTTTTATCTACAGAGGGAGTGGGTCCTCCAGTAGCCCAGAACACACAAATAAAACACTTGCTGTAGAAAGGGCCTTAGCATTTTTTGTGAGTTTTGCTGCCACCATAGTTTCTCCTACACTGGAGTGTGAAGTAAGTGCTACACTGCTAGATGCCACTAAATCCTACACACTCGTCCTTTAAGAATGGTAAGTGAAGGAGAAAATAAGCAGTAGTGTCATCGTATAGAAACAATGTTTTTGGTGGAACACAACACTGACAGACGAGCAAAAATCTACTTAAAGATACAGTAAAGAAAGAAAGCAAAAAAAAAAAAAACAGGATAAGGTAAAACAGGTTGAAGACAAATGACAGATAAACAGTGTTGGATGAGAATGTCTAGAGAGCAATATGGATGCAGGAGATCAGTCAAGATAACAAGGTATGTCAGCCTGCTGGGCCCAGCTCTATTCCTCACCCCCCTACCAACCCCAACCACCCCACCCACCCCTCCTCAGTCCATCTTCTCCTTGTGAACCAGTTTGGGGGCATCCACAAAGTCTTGGCCGTTAAACAGGATGATAGTGGCTGTAATAGCACTAGCAGCCCCCCAGAACATCACATAAGCCAGGGTCTCGGTCCACGTGTCACCTGGAAGATAAATAGTCGTCAATTATGCTGATTTTCAAAACCACAGTAACTTGTCACCTGAAGCTCTTCAGCAAAAGGCCTGTCTACTCAGGAAGTGATTCAGCTATGGACTTTAAGTCCAGTGGCTGTTTCTGTGCAAAGCTAACTGAAACTTCAAACAGGGTCAAGTCTCTCTCTCGGTTTTGACTTGTTACACCGTTCACGATGTTTTTTTTTTATGTTATGTCCATCATGCGTTTTATGCAATAGCCTCAGCGTTGGGAAGTCTGCAATGACAGGGTTCCCATCAAATGCTTTAAAACTGAAATACCTAGCTTGTTTTGAAAATGGAAGGAGCAGGAAGTACAGATATTTATGTAAAAATGTAGGAGTAAAAAAAAATATCAGCACAAAAGAGCTTTTTAGCTTCGTGTGATTTTAATTTAACTAGATTGTAGCTGTTCCATGTTTTATTTTGTGCATTGAAGGTTTAATCTGTTAACAAACAGATCTTGTGTGGTTGAAATAATAAAGTTTATTTATGTGCGCAGCTTTTTGTCACCGCCTCCTGCTGCCGCTGTCTGATCTCGTCCACTTTCCAGATGTCACACTTCACCAAGACAACCAATCAAATCAAGCAAGCTTATTGCTTGATTGCTTTATCACTTTTTTCCTGTTTCGATCCCCTTTACTATGCCGGTAAATAGATTAGCTAGCTGTTTGACTGTGAGAGAGCTACCAGCAGGGGTGTAGTGGGGGATAAACCCAAGTATGACAGTGGCCTTTATATAGAAGGCAGGTTTTAAGACACTTCCGCGTTAGCTTCACTTTTCAGACCTGGAAGCACTGTCCATTAAATATACTGTCAATAGCTTCAATACAGTTTTTCTGTTAATCATATTTTATCACACGGTGGCGCACGTTGCCTCGTTCCACAGGAACACCAGTTGTTTTTTCTCCGAATATTCTATGATAGAATTATTATATATATATATATATTATATATAGTAATATCGGCAAAATCCATATAGAAAAGCTCTAATTAGTATAAGCATCTAGATAGGAATGTAAAATGAGCAGAGAAGAACTTACCAGCCATGAGAAGACAGACGATGCACATGGAAAATGCCACTAGCATAATGATGGGCAGCTGCAAAAAAAAAAAAAAAAAACAGGATTCAAAGGATTAGACTAAGAATCACATTCACTACTGCTGCTAACATAGAAAATACTAATATACAGACCGTGAGGAACTTCCAGTCCTTCTGCACACGAAGAGGAGTGGGTCCATCCGACTCATCGACAGCAAAGTTACCCAGAAACAGATCAATGGAATCCTGAAAGCACACTGACACCTTGACTGGACTGATTATACACACCTTCCCAAATCAGATTAATTTTCTTATTGGGCTTCACTTCACAAAGTTTCATGAAAATGTTAAATGTGGAAGGTTAAGGGGATAAAGCACTAACGACCCCTGTGTCATACTCTACGGATATTTCATATTAAATTCAATGCATGACAATAAAGAGAATAACTGATAAACTTTATAATGAACACAAATATTGAACAAAATAACTGCAAGGAAGTTTGTGTAAAATTAGCTATTTGGATGAATTGTGAGCATATTATTTCCTGTGAATATTGATGAATATTTTAGGAACTTTTTATAGAATCATAAATTCTTCTTTCTTCTCATTGTTCTATTAGCTCTTTGGATGTTTGAACTTTTCTAATGCAGGATTAGGCTGTTTAACAGAAAGTGAAGGCTCTGTGAATATAGCGTGTTCAGGTCTTCATGATCTGTTTATATCTTAAATAATAATCTAAACTTTAAAAATAACAATTTTGTTTAGTTTTCTTAACAGAAATTAACAATATACTGTTATACAAGCCTACTGTGTAAATTTTGTTCATGTTTTCTTACACACCTGAAAATCAAGAAGGCCTCGCAACACCACATGAAGGTTTGGCGACCCCCTAGTGGGGGATGGGAGCAAGTGTCTTAGACTCTAGAGTTCATAGATTGCATGAGCAGATTGAGAACTCAACATAAACATTTTACCGCATGGGATGATATGAAAATTTTCATGATTATCATGTTCAAAATAATTGTGATACACAATATTATCCCAATAATCATGAAAATATACTTCATCAGAGCGGTTGTTTGGTCTGCATCAGAGTTTGAGTTTGGCATTCACTCCAATCCAAATGAACTGCACCTAGGGGGTAAATATTCCAGCATTCTGTTAAACCGGACTAAAAACAGCTGGTGTGACCCCCACCGTTAGAACAGTGGATTTCTCTGGTACTGTTCAATGGTGATGTATCTACAACAAACCATGTCATTAACATCATACCTGTCTGAATCCATCAGAGAAGTTGTTTTTGTAGTAGCGTATCATGGAGTTCCAACCATCCATCAGCAGCCCCCACCTGGTCCTCTTCCCTGTCCTGATGGAGTTGGAGTTGGAGTTTTGATTAAACAACAGCCGTGATAATAATACTGCAGGGGACTCCAGACAACAACACACGCGTTAAGTCAACTGATGTGTGGTAAAGGATGTTACAGTACTGTACCTTGTGAAGTCTGTTTTCAAAGCTCCAGTTCCTGCATACTGTACAGCGCATGCATTGGCATTGTCAGCCCATGCTGGTTAGAAATCACACACAGAGAACAGTGAGGGCACACTCAGAGGCTTCACTTTCTAATAATGACACAGTACATGCCAACAGTCAAGCATACAGAAGATATTACCATTCTTGTAGATCTTTTCAAACTCAGCCTGCTCCTCGATCCTCTGACCCACATTCAGAACGCCCATCCTCTGTGGACCCAAAGGCATATGTATTGTGCCAATGGCCAATTTAAAAATAGAAAAAATGACTCAAAACTATCAGTTATCAAAATAGCTTACTAGTCGACTAATCTTTACAGCTCTAAGTGGTAGTGGGGTTAAAAATACCTGAAGCTGAGACTGTAGGGAGCGTCGGGCCAAGAGGCTCTGGATCACGTTGGTCCTGTCCAGGCAGTCCATGCAGTTACTGCGGAAGACTCCTCTCTGCTGTGCCACTGTCTTCTCCTCAGAGTTCACCATGAAGTAACTACACACAGAGAAAAGTATGAGTACTTCTTTACAGTATACAACTAGATATTAGCCCAGAACAGCTGCTGGTTAAGTTACCTGTATTCATCTTGTGTCTCAGCAACAGAATCCACCAAGATCTGGAGACGGTCCCATCTCATGTGGCTGCACTCTTTGTGGAAGTCGAAGGCTATGTAACTGAAGACAGAAGAGACAATGCAAGACAGAGCAGGTTAAGTGGAGATTTCTTGGTCAAACTTTTTTGATCCAACAGCAATTCTTTGTTACAGAGGTGGCAGACATAGTAGTAAAATAGTAAATGGTAAATGGACTGTACCTATTTAGCGTCTTTCTAGTCTTTTCAACCACTCAATGTGCTCTACACTACATGCCACACTCAACCCATTCACACACATTCATATACTGATGGCAGTGGCTGCTGTGCAAGGTGCCAACTGCTCACCAGAACGGAAACTAAGCACTAAGACTTTGACATGCAGCGAGAGGAGCCGGGGATCGAACTGCCAACCTTCTGATAAATGGATGACCTGCTCTACCTCTGAGCCACAGCCGCCCCTATGTATGTAGTCATTAGAGTAAGTGGGGAAAATATATACAATCAATATGTCTAAATGCACTTAAACAAAAAGGCTCTATAACAAAGGATGCCGCATTATAAGCTTCGGCAATGGTATGAAAAGGTAAACACTTCCTGTCTCTAAAGTGGGCACTGTCGGTTTTCTCCTGGTATTTTCAGATGTGAAGCCTCTCTGTGAGCTGAAGGTGAAACTCACTCACAGGATCAACATTAGCTAGTCACACTTGAGTATATTGATTCCGATGACACTTTTACACAGATAGAAAGCACCCAGACATCAAAAACTGGCATGTGCATGGCCCAGGACAGGTGGACTCTGCGGCTGGTGATTAAAACCGCTCAGATCATTGGTACTCTGCTACCCAGCATCAGTGATATTGGTCAAAAGGATACTAAAAGACAGGCTCAACCCCAGCCACAGCCTGTTCACCCTACTGCCATCTAAGAAGAGTTACAGAAGCTTCCGCTGCTGTACCACCAGACTTAAAGACAACTTCTTCCCTTAGGCTTAAGACCGCTTATTTCATTGTCAGCATTCCACCACTCAAAATAGTGTTTTTTATTTTTATGACTTAATACATTTTAAAGTATGTTTTGTGTATATATTTTTTGTTTTACAAGTAGCAAAATGGGAACTACAACCTGAATTTCATTATACAACCCTGTGTTTTAAAATGACATAAAATTATCTTGTAAATTATGGCTAAAACCTTGACCTTTGAGTCAAAAGTGTCACCAGTTAAGTGTCCATCCAACTGTAATATGGTCTCCCCTTCTGTTCCTGAGATATGGAGTTGAATAACGGCCAAAAAGGACATTGTGATGTCAGATTTTTATTTTTGGTCATTCTTGACAATAGGACAGCACTTGATCACAGAATGTTTAAGGGACACCCACTTAAGCTGTAAGCTCACTTCTGTGGTGGACTTGGCGAGCTGATTTTTACACTTTCTGAATTGACTACAGTTTTCTTCTAAACATATCATCTTTTTGGCCACGGCACAGACTAAAATACAATTAAAATTTTCTAGGACAACATAGATCATTTCCAGGATATTTGGTCACATTAATCATTTTCCAGATGGACAACATGAACACATAATGAACACATAATGCCTCCATTGGATCATAAAAACAACTTTGTTACAATGAATGTAATTTGTTACTTCACCTCTGAGATCTGATTACTCACTGGCATGTACACATGGATTTACGGTCTCCGGGTTACTACAGTCTATGTAAATGCACTTATTGGCACCATAAGTGACTGTGTAGTCAGTGAAAAGAATTGGAGGAGGCATTGAGTGACACTTACTTGAGCATACCATTGTTCATGCCTGACACCATCTTGGCAAAGGCCTGCTCTAGTGGCTTCTCAGAGCCCTTCTGATTCACCTGGAAAAACAAGAAAAAACAAACTAGTGTAATAATTCTTCTTATATTTGCTTTTAAATAAATAATGAACAGAGCTTAAAAAAGGTTTTCACCAGGTTTAGAATAGTCTGCTTCCCATAGATGAGGAGCTGAGAATCAAAATGCCTCTGGAAACCATCCATCTATACAAAGTTTTCAAGTGGTTAGCGTTAAGATTTTCATACTGACGCAGAAAAGTACACAGAAACATGAAGCGTCTCCTCTTACGTGATTGGTGGTTTTGCTGATTATAGGTTTAGGTTTGTATTTGAGGTTGGGCCTCTGACTCCAGTAAAAAGGCATGGAGCCTCGTGTCTGGGGACGAAAAACAAAGTTTGTCTTGAGAAGTAATTTCTGAAATATTGCACTTCTCAAACTTAAATGTTTTAACAAGAACTTAAAGTTGCACAGAAAGATATAGAAACAGCCAAATAAAACACAATTCAAATAATCTTTCAAACTGTTCTTTTTTAAAAAAAAATTTAACAGTATACTTGCCTGTACAAATGAAGCCTTTGCTCCCTCGTACAAAACTATCTGCTCAGTCTCCACAAAGTTAGCAGCATGGCCTTCAGAGTCGATGCCTGTGGAGATAATCGAACCAGGAAATCCATAAGCAGTTAGTAGTAGGGATGTTCAGTATTTGCTTTTTGAGGCGTCCCAGAGTGGCGAGGCTGAAGAGACTTGACACAGCAGAAGCGCTGTCTGAAAGGCAATGCTACTCAGTATCAGAGTTTAGCAAAGACAACGCTTCAGTGTCTTCAGATAAGAAAAGATAAGATAAAATATACCTTTATTAATCCCCCGTAGGAGAAATTCAAGGTACACACATCAGCATTGGGGAATATAGTGCAAAAAGAGTGCAGTGTACAAGTACAATCTTATCACAGATAAGAATATTACAAAATATAATAGAATATAAAACTATAACTGAAAAATATATACACTATAAGCAATAAGCAATGTGCAAGTACAATGGTGTGCAATTTAAAATATTTTAAGCAGGTTGACTGAAAAACTAAAAAACTAAACTGTACATGTACAGCAATTTTACCTCTAACGTAGTATCTGACACCGGCCCGGAAACAGCTTCTCCTGGATATGAGGATCCACTCAAAGATCTTCCCATTTATACGACATGGCTTCATAACGATGACTGGACACGGAGGGTCAAGGAAAGGCTTGGCTCAGGAACTTACTTATCTCATCTCATCTACAGTGTGTTTTAGGTATGACGAAATGCTCCATTCTGGATTACAATAGGTGAACTATTAAAACATTCAGTGGAAAAAAGGATACATCCATGGACAACAGGAAGCGCAAACTTATGAAGCTATGGGGAAAAAGTGATAGTTATTAAAAAGTGCCAATCCAGTCAGAAATCAGTGTTTCTTCTTCTCCTTACAGTGTGATGTTTGAATGATGTCTGTGCAGAGTTTGACACTAGAAGGATGTTCTCACAATCACCTGCTGAAAGTGAACAGTTTCTCTGTGCTGGTTAAAAATCTGCTGTTAAGGGGCGGGGCCTACCAGCATGATTTGTGAATCACAAAATAGTTTGAAAGTCAGCCTGGTCCGTAATGCAAACTTGTAGCAGTGTGAGTAAGAAACTTGAGCCACCAGTGCACATCCTACTGGAGAATGGTCTTTACAGTGAAGTAGGAGACACCTAAACTAGCATATATTTAGAGATTTTGAGGATAATTTTTAAAGGATTTTCATGTGGAAATTAAACTATATGTTTTTGTGGTAAAAAACATATCAGACACACATTATTGTTCCAAGCAGATTATTGTGTATATGTCTTAATACATCTGCATCTGCAGGGATCTTTAAATAAATTCACAAATAAAAAACAAAAACACAGACTAGCATGACAGAACACAGGTTAAAAGTGTGTTACCTCTGGCTGCGCAGCCAGTTCTCTCAGGAGGTTTCCATTCCACACAAACCTCTGATCTGCCTGAAAAGCACAAGCAACATTGACTGAGTAACATTATCCATCAGCCGAAGAAGAAAAGCATAAGGTAGCACTTTATGATTATTCTTAAGTCATCAGCTAATGTAACTATGATTAAAAAATGCCTATGTTATACACAAATTATTTATAGATAGCTACTATTATGGGAATCATTTGACCAGTACTTTAGGCAAGTGAATGCAATTGTCCCATATTTGTAATAAAAACTACATTATGATCCTTTACAAATCATTCATAAGCTTAAGAGAACTATAAACACCTTTAAGGATGGCAAGTTTCTATATTTGTCAACAAATCCAAAAAAAGACCAAACCATTAATGTATTAGTCCATCTCTCAATATTTCCCTAACCTTGCAAAGCACTTGCAATATCAAGTTCATCCATTTTTCCAGGCTTCAAGCTATGCACTTGTGTCCAACCGCATTGGTTTGTACTGAGGAGGAAAATTACAGATACCTGCTAACCAAATGAGAGGTGGCAGCCGCCCCCCCCCTACTGGTTGTGTCCCTTTCATATTCAAATGTATATTCACACTGTCCCCTGCAGTAGCCGGCTCGGTCCCCCCCCCTGCTGGTTGTGTCCCGTTCATTCTCAAATGTATATTCATATTTGTCTCACTGTCCTCTTGACCCAAACACCACACTCACTTTGTATCACCACTTCTTCCCTTTGTCACCCTTTGACCAACTAAAACCCACACAACCCTACATTTCCTTGTTCCTTTTGTCTCATCACCTTTGTCGACCACTACCTTTTGTTTTTAACCTTCCTCTGACTCCAATGATAACCATGTATCCGTTCCGGTAACTGAAATACCATTAACATACTGGTCTATTGTATTGTCATGTAGTAGAAAGTTATACCTTTGATTATTTGCATTTGGGGTCCATTATCCAATCAGCGACTTGTCCTGTGTTGTAATGTTCACTCTTAGGATGCCGGCATGCTTTAGAAACACACCACCACAGCAAACCTGAATTCGACTTGAATGATTTTTCTTCAACAGTACCAATCAGTGTCCTATGAGGAACTACTGGCAGCTACAGCATGAGCTCAGAAACTGCGTGTGGATTCTACTTGATCCACAAACTGCAGCCTTGCAAGTGATCATTGAGTAAATGTTAAATGGATTGCACTGATGTAGCACCTTTTTAGTCTTCCGGCCATGCCACATTCACCCACGTGATGGCAAAGGCTCATCAAAAACAGTAACAAATTCATTCACACGCCGATGACACAGCATTGGGAGCAATCGAACCGCCAACCTTCTGATAAGTGGATAACCTTCTCTACCTACTAGTCACAGTGACCTAGTTGAATCAACACCTTGCTAAAACAGTCTGAACATTATAACCTTCATGGAGGGTGGATTTATTGTTTCAGAGTGCATTAAACAGGTCAAATCAAACAGGTGGAAAACCTGTATTGGTTGGAGACTATTTTCCACATTTGGTGCTCTAGTGAGCACCAAAGAGAGTGTGTTTGGAGCAGCAGGACGGTGTATGTGGAACTGAGTCAAAGTAAACTACAGTTTTCATGGTAATGAATGAACTGAAAATGTGAGCCAGTCACAAAGTAGCTCGAGTGATTTATTACTAATCATTGATGATGACCACTAGTAGCTCTACCAGAATGTGCACAAGGACACACAAAAATACCACAAATACATGGGGTGACGTGATACAGATTGCCAGTGTGAAAACACAACCATAAAACCACTTCTGTTCCAGGGTGTATTTTGACATTTCTGACCAAAACCACTTGAATGCACAACTGTTTATGATATGATAAGTATAGTGTGGCCTTCTGTAAGGCACTTTATTGGATATCTCACCCTCTCCAGCAGACTCATCTCCTGGAAGTCAGGGCTAGTGTTGGCCAGCCGTTGAAGAGTGTGTGTCAAGTCGAAGTCAGTGCAAAAGTAGAAGCCATCTGTAGTCAGCACATTGTTAAGCATGGACAGGAAAGTCTTATTCTCCTGAGACTAGAAAAGGAAATAAAACAGACTTTTAGTTTTCAGGAAAACTCATGATGATGTACAAGAAAATGCAAACTTATATGTTGTACTGGAACAACATATCAGAGAGGTGCATATATATATATATATATGTCTATGACAGCCGAGAAAGTCAGTAATTTTTTACATTACATTGCAACCCTTTAACACATTAGCAATAAAGAGTCATTAATACATAATAATAATACATTCACATTTAACTACCTGCTTTTGCTGCATATTTCACGCAAAAATTCTGATTTGGTGTGGAAATACCTCTGTATAATACTAATACCCTGTAATATAACACCAGGACTAACTAGCTCTATGCTGCAATACCACAACAATATACTTATACATTATTTCAGCATATTCTACATGAGTCATCAACTGGTGAGGATGCTGACTTTTTACCTGGGACCTATTAGCTTTAGCCTCAGACTTTTAGTATGATAGTATGATGATTTAGTATGATTTGGGGCGGCAGTAGCTCAGTGTGTAGGGACTTGGCTTGGGAACCAGAGGGTCGCCAAATCCCACAGACCACAGTATGGAGTGTGGACTGGTAGCTGGAAAGGTGCCAGTTTCACCTCCTGTGCACTGCCGGGCGCCCCTTAAGCAAGGTATCCTAGTCCCGAAGAAACTGCTCAATGGGTGCGCTAACGTGGCACCCATGAAGCAGTTTCACTCCACCATCTCTCTCCCTGTTTGCATGTTCCACAAGTGCATGAAGTGTGTATTTTTCAGTGTGTGTGTAAGAATAAATAAAGAGTGAAAATAACAATTTCCCCGATAGGGGATTAATAAAGTATATATCTTATCTTCTTTTTCTCTATCTTGATATCGTGTATGTAGCCATCGTGAGCATATTTAAGACCTTTTTATAAGTGTCTGTTTGAAAATTAGTCAGCTGGAAACATTCAAAAGTAAGCCAGAGACTGCATTTTTAACCAATTCATAGAATTAACTACAGCTGATACAATATTTTGTCATATTAGCTGATAAAACTGTACCTAAAATAATCTAAAACCAAGGAATCATTGTTTAAAAAATATTCTATACATTTCAGTGTTAAATCTTAAGCCATCATCACTGTAAACTGCATATGTGCCATGCTGCATACATTTTTTTGACAGGCATAGCAACAGTAACTAAGGGGCTTAGTGAAGGGTCAATTTAGATGTTTAAACTGATATGCTGCTGGGGAAGCCTAGTGTACCACGGCACCATTCCATTCAGTCTTGTGAAGAGGAAACCAACAGGGCTGAGTTTCATGCTTTTTGAGCTTTGTGCATCTCTGCTGAGCTAATAGGATCTGGCTGCTAAGCCAGTTAGCACAGAGAGTGAAGCCTGACGTTACCCCTCCAATCTTGCACAGCTTTCTTACATTCTTCTCTTCCTGCTTTACCAGGGATTATACTTCTAGACCACTTTTTACTACCATAAAAAAACAATCACTGGTATTTGTAAAAAAAAAATTAAATTAAAATAAAAACAAAAAAATCTAAATCCCATACACCCTAATCTACAACAACCAACAGTTTATTGTTTCCCATTGCTATTTTTAAACTGTGTACAGTTTTATGAACCACATAGTTTTCAGCCACGGCTCCCCTCTCAATTAGTATACCTCCTAAGAATAGGAGCAGTAGCAGATTAATAATGTACTGCCTGCTTCACTGAAATTAGATAGCACAGTGTGATTCCAGACTGCAAAGAATGACTAATCCTGAAATATGAGGTCTCAGTCAGAGAGACTGGACATATGTCAGACACCCATAAAAGCTGTCTGAATTTCCAAACCACTCAACAGCGTGATTGTCTGCTGGACAATTAAACAGTACCACCAGTATTCACAGCCTACTATCACTTAACCTAATCAGGCAACAACAATCTGAAATGGATTGAAGACATAGTTTGAATATTTTAAGTGGACCTATTATGCTCATTTCCAGCTCTATATTCTTGTTCTTCGGTTGGTCCACATAGATGACTGTCTCACTGAACTGCTTACTTAAGTGACCACACAGTGCTACACATAATTTAAATTTGTCTGTGGCATATTCTACAGATATAGACATTGAAACTGTAGAGAAAGGTGAATATGTTGCTGGTATAATGTTGATATGACTATGAACAGAAATAATAATGTTGATATGACTATGAACAGACTGCTTTTTTGTTGGGAACCACACGTGGTTTGCAGAAAAAATGCAATATTGCAATATAATTGCATTCTGACTTTTTTGCATTTTTTGCCGTTTTTTATGCGCAGAATGAAAATGCAGATTTTGAGTGAATGGTCTTGCTGACCTGAATCTCTGAAAGATGCAGCACTGTCTTCTTATAAGAGATCACGTCAAAATCCACAGCCTTCCACACCGCGTGGCCGAGGAGGCTGCCCACGTTCCTCTTCCTAGTTATGACGATCAGGTACATCCCTGTGTGGTGTAAGAGGTCAGTCAGAGTTGTTTTATTGTACACGCTCAACAGAGCACTGACAAACATAATGCTGCATCACCATGGTACTTACCTGCTACCAGGCGAATGGTTCCCATGATGCCACATATAGGCCTGGTGACTGCTGAGGGAGGAACATCTTTTTTACCTGTGAAAGCACCACAATGCTTAAAAAGTTAGAACAAATCATTTAACCTTCTATTTAATCTCAACATATTCCTATGTGCTGCAAGAATTAGATGAGACACATACTTCTATGGATAATGTATAATGATTGATGGAATGATGATTAATTACTTTCCAAAAAGTTATTTTCTTTGTTTGTAAAGGGTTTGTAAAAAAAAGTAATACTTTGTACACAAAGAACAAAACACTGTATAATGGTTCAACCAGACTGAAAGTGAAGAGAGAGACAAAGATCCCTCTGAGCAACAGTTCAATAAGACTGAGTCTGAATGACTAGTCAAAAATTCTCTGAAATATCTAGAGAAAACAGATATTCGCCTGAAATGGCAATTGCAGTCTGAATATTGGCAGAACAACAGATTCCCAGAGGACTTAGAATGAAAAAGAAACCCAAACTGGGTAACCAAGACCCCGGATTTCAAAAGAAGGGAACAAATTCTTAATAATTGCTCGTTAGATTTGACTTTACTGATAATAACGCTTTGAAAGACTGAGTTACAAGAACATCTATTAGAACACTAATTTTACCAAGATAGAAAATTAATTGAAAGAAGAACTCTGAGGATGCATTGAAGGCATACATAAAAAAGAAATCTGAAAGAGAAATGGAGGATTATAGAAGAGGAGCTAACCCCAGGACTCTGATTAAAAAAAAATAAATAAAAAAAAAATGCTCGGCACAGCCAGGGACCGGAATGGAGTGCATCAAGGGAACACCTGGACAATAGCCGTCCCACATAGCACCAGGAGCTTCTTCTCACCAGCGAGGAGGAAATAAGTGCGTCCTCCACTAATGAATGTTTTTTAGGGGGGAAAAGCCGTCCACAAAGAAGAAAACCAGGAGGGGAAAGAGGACACACCAGGGGAATAATAATACGGAACAGGAAGTTCCGTAGTCAGGGTGTGATCTCTGATGAACTTAATGTTTTGAGTTGCAGATTATCATTTGTCCACACTTATAAAGTCAATGCATTTAAATTAAAAGTTGATTCATATATACATAAATTCTTTAGACAGCTACATTTAAAAAAAAAAAAAAGAAATTCATAGCAAGGCAAATGTTAATACAGGGGGAGTAACAGACCCGCTGAGCACGTTTAAGAAAAAAAATCCATACTTGATACATTTAGTAAACTAGTGGAAAAAGTTATTGAAGCAGTTGTCAGATAAGGATGTTTTGAAATTGGTGGCAGACATCTCTATGCTTAACAACTCCTATTTGGTATCTTTTGACGTGAGAGGGGTGTAGGGGTGACAGTAGCTCAGTGTGTA